CCTTATTAACAGAGCAAAGAAAGTCCTATCGTCAAACGGGGTCACACAGGTTATGATGTTGCCATGTGCCACTCAGAATTGCCCCCATAGGGTTTCCTAGGATGAAATCTTTGTGGGAGCAAATCTCCAGGGGTTAGGATTTACAACATGTATCTTTTGGGGACATAATTCGATCCATAGCAACTGTCCAAATGATGGACAAGGTCATTCCCTAAATGATCTGAAAGAGTGGAGCACAGTGAGAGAGAAGACGGCCCTACGGAGATCTGGGGATCCAGAGACCTCTTTGAAGAAGGCTGGCAAGGAAGGGAGCTGGTGGTGCGGGGATTGGGGTGGGCATGTCCCCTGGGAGTGCCGAGGCTGGCATTCTGTCTGGCTGCCCCAAAGCTCTGTCCAATGCTGGCCAGGCTCTATTGCTGTCCACTTGCCTATAGAAGTGCCTAGTGTCCCCTGAGGGCTCACTGGGCCCCCTCTGGGAAAGGTTACATGTCACCTGTCACCTTGTTAAAATGCCCTGCTCCTGCTGAGTGCAGGCTGTCCTGGCCAGTGCAGCACAGTGCAGGTGAATTGTGGGAAGGTGAGAGCTGGGAGCGGTTAGCCTTGCCAGGGTGCAGGGCATGGGACAGAGCTACTCTTCTCCTCTGTGTGGTTCTCTGGCCTCCCAGCTGTGCTGGGAGCTGTCCTGCCTGGTGGCTTCTTTGGCTGGAATTGAGGAGAGAAGGCCTGTTGGGCAGGTGTGCAGGCTGTTGTCAGGCCTGGTGCCACCCTAGGTGCAAGCCCCATGATGCATGGGGAGGGCCACCATTTCCAAACCTCCAAGGGACACCCTTTATGTGAGCTGCCATGGACAATGCCCCTTGTACAGCATGGAGGCCCCTTTGGAGGGTAGAGGGTGGGCAGAATGCAAGGGAGGAGAGCAAGCAGTAGGTGCACCTGTGGACTGCCTTGTGGGGAGGGGTGTGAGGGTATGCTGGTTGAGGGAAGGGGCAGAGCCCAGGTTACCACATGCTGTCTGCTATCCTGGCCCTGTCCCCAACCAAGGGTTTCCTAGAAGGAAGGGCTGCGGTGACTGCTGACCAAGCATGGTGTGAGGTTCTAGGGACCTAGCAACCAAGCCAGCTTCAAGACAGGGATTACAAAACCTCACTCAACCATGGGAACTAGATCTTCCCCTCAGCCAGCCCCAAACTACTGGCTGGGCTCTGAGATTTGACAGAATGGTTGGTGGGCTTGATACCATGTGGTTCAATTGCCCTTTGCTGGCTGAACCTCCCCGACACAGCATAGCCCTTGGCTCAGGAGCCTGGGTTGGTGGCATGCTGGGGCTTGGAGACTAGGGCCCTGCCACCTAAGCTGCCCCTCGGGTCTCCAGCAACTAGTACCTACCTACTGCCTCCTTCCTGTCACTTGGCTGCACCTAATGCTTGGCATTGTGGCATGCCCAGGCCTCAGGTTATGCCTCCAGATCCCCAAAATGGTACCCTTCCTTTGTCTGGAACACAGCCCCTCCAGGAGCCAAGGATAAGCTGGTGCTGACAGAGCAGGTCCTTGACCCTGTAGGGAATTCGATTTCTAGAATTTCTCATTTTCTATTCAAGTGTGGCCCTCAGTTTCTTTGACTCTTCATAACAAGTCTCCTGATTAGCAGTGACTCCTGCTGGCAGATGGTAGAATTACCACCCAGCTCTATGAGCACCTACAGGTAACCTGACTGAAGTGGCATGATCCACAATTTGTGAAATGGGGAAGTCATTGTGTCCCCAACTAGACGAAAATGCTTCTGATCTGGATATGGGCAAAGACCTAAGTTAGACTCTGGTAGAGAAAAGAACCTAAAGTCAGGAAGGGGCAGGAATGTTGGACAGTCTTTCTTTCCTTAAAATGGTGTTGATGAGCAAGACTTCTCAATCCAGGATTTTTTTTTTTTTTTTTAACTGAGAAAATGTTACTTAAATAATACTAAAAAACAAAACAAAACAAACAAACAAAAAAAAAACCATAAAAGACAAAATGGAGCTTATGGTAAGAGCCCAATTTGTGGGAACATATCGGTCCACAGTTGAGGGATGTTTGTACAGAATGGAGCAGGTCTTATACCTCCATTTAGAAGCAAACTCCTATGCCCTGTCTTCTGATGGATGCTTTCAGCTGTGCTTCAGGGCTTGGTCCTGATGTGAGGGCTGTCGCCAGATGTGAGCCCCCCTCTATAGTCCATACAGGGGTTGCTGGGATGTGTACTGTGGCCAGGTTGCACAGTGACTCCAGGAACCTGGAGATGTCACCCCTGCCCTGGGGCACTGGCTGGTTTGTCCCTGAATTTCACAGCCCAGTGCTGGAGAATCTTCCTTGCTCAGCTTTCTGGGAATCCACATCACAGGATATACATGATGACACTGTGTTTGGCTTCCTGCTGTGCACAGCTTGGGAGCATCTGGAATGTTACAAAGATTGTAGGGCAGAGCGGAGAGAGGCCAGGCTCAGGAGAGTGCAAGGCTGCTCAGGAGCTGGCCTCCCTCTCACTGCACCCCTGCTTATGACCTCACTGCTGGGCTCCTCCGAGCCCAACACCTGCTCATCTCAGTCCCATCTCAGGGACATATCTGGCAGGGCTGATTTGGCCGTCCCTTTCCTTATAGTCCTGCCACCAGCTTCCTGGGCCCATCTTTGGCCCATGGTGCCTGCTCAGCCTGGCTCCCCTGAGCCGGGCTTTGCACCCCCTTGTGTGCCTGCAGGTCCTGCCAGAAGGGCTTCTGGTTCCTATTAAGTGTCCTGAGCGGGAATGCGGTGGTGTTGTTAACACAAATAAACAGAGCCCCCAGGAATGCAGGCTGGCTCAGGGGCGAGGGGGTGAAAGCTGCTAAATGGAGCCTGGTGGTGTTTGGGCAGAGCCTATTCAGGTGAGGCAGGCTGGCCTCGGGGTTCAGGACAGTGTGTGGGGCAGATAGGTGGGGAGATGGAGGGGGTGCCCGGGGGACAGGGGGATAGGGGAACAGAGTTGCACTTCCCCTGTACCACCCTGCCCTCATGTGCTGCTGGGCAGGGTGGCATCCTGCAGTGGATGACCCCAGAACTGGCACTGCCACCCTTGGGTGTCCTCTACCCCTAGGACTGGCTTTGCCCCAGGAGGGGAGATGCACCTCACATGGGAACACTGAGGCCAGGGTCATTCCTGAGTGTTGTGGTTTATTTCTGAGGAAATCGAGTGTGCGTTGAGGGGAGGCATTGCCCTCTGCAGTGTGGCCTAGCTTTGTCGGAGCTTTTGGGACAGCTCCTGTGTTCCATTTGGGGATGCTGAGGGAACAGCTGCTGCCCAGTGCTGTCAGCCCCCATGTGCCTGCTTCTTGGTGGAGCCAGCTGTGCTGTGCCGGGTGTACCACTCCCAGGCCTCATACATAATGACAGAAAGGAGTCCCCTCAAGGTGGAACCACTGCCGGCACCCCCAGGGCCTGTGTGATGAGAACAGAGGTGGCATCTCAGGTGACACCTGCCCCCGGAAATGCTATGTGAATAGCCTCAGGTTTGTTCGGGGACAGACTCCACTCCGGGCAGCCTCGCCTGGCAGATGCTGCCTCCCTGCGGCACAGGCCATGTGCATTCTTGTGGCTTTCCTCCCGGCTCCGGCTGGATCCCTTGCTAACCACAGAGGCGGTTGCCAGCAACTTGATTATAACCAAATCTCCTCCAAGGAGCTGGCTGCTGCTGCTGCCTGAGGCCCAGTGCCCGCCCTGGGCCAGCCTCACCCGGCATCCTAGGCTAGCCAAGGGGCGTGACCCCAGTTGGTCACTTACGTTCCTAGGTGGAGACCCATGGAGACTGGGGTTCCATCCCTGGTCCCATGGCTTCTTCAAGTACTGCTGGGGTGGAGTGGGATCCTGGGTATGGTCAGATGGGAAGTGTGGCCCAGCTGTCCCTGGGGTACTTGAGGGGTGCTTCTTTGGATCCTCATGCCTGCAGCTTCTGGTCCCCACACTGGCACCTCCCTTGGCAAGAGGGACTGGCTCCTGGCAGTGTGGGGGTGACCACTTCCATTGCCTACTCTCTCCCCCTACCCACATACCACAGGCAGTCAGTGGGGCCCTGGACATTGGGAGCAGCTTGCTTGTGTGTCCCAAGTATTGGACCAGAGGCTGTCCTGCTGGCAAGGACAGAGCTGGACATTGGGAGTTGGGAGGCCCTCCTGTACCCCATCTTCTCCCGGCAGTCACAGCCTGCTGGCCACCAGCTCTATATCTTGGTTCTCACCCCAGTCATGGGGCCTTTC